GAATGAGGAGATCTGGCACGGCTGCATGTGGAGGAGTGTATGAGAGCAGAATGTAGCAAATGTGTTGAGCAAATACAGGTGACGAAGATCACTCAGGACTTCAAAGAGTGGCCCGTGGAAGGCAGCCTTCTTTAAGTCATTAGCAGCAGCTTTTCAGAATTATGGGGGTGGCTTTTCCAGCCCTTCAGGGCAGTGGAAAAGACTAGCCTTAGCACATCTTCCTAATGTAGCTCTGCATTTGTGACAATTTTACAGCTATAACCACAAAGGAAAATTAGGATGATTCTCCCCAGGCTGAGATCCTGGTCTTCCAAATGAACCAGCCATCACATATCACCCCTGAGGGCCAAGGATCTTAGCCCTACCAACCAGAAAGTTGCATGGCTCTTCTGCATTTCCCCTTGCCAGGCTTAACTGCTAAGAAAAAACAAACAAGATCATCCAAAAACTAAGAGGAAGAGATGGGAAAGTTACAAACAGCTTACGATAATTTCAGGGGTTTGCACAGTAGGCTTTGGAAAGTCCCCACAATGACATCGATCCAACTTAATCAACCCACTAAAACCCATTTTTGAAAGGTTCGGTTTAGTTCGCATCCAGAATAGCCCTCTTGGGTCTGGCCAAGGCCATCCTGCTCCAGCGTTGTCTTTCAGGGTGCCCAACCAGATGCCTCTGCATTGAGCACAAGCGGGAGAAACACATCCCTCCCTCACCGTTGCTGTCTTCTCCTGCAACTGCTCGGCAGAGGCCTGTGGTTCACAATTCACAAATGACACTAAGTCATGAAGGCTGAAAACTCTTGTTTCCCAAAGACGTCTCCAATCCCCCTTCAGAGGTTAGTAGCTGCTATCCCATCTTGTGAGACTGATTCCCCCAGGTCCTTCTGTGTTACGTGTAGAAGGAAGGAGGTGGGGAGTATGGGGCATTCCACCTCTTTCCCTGGGAAAAGAACTCCCCTCAGAGATAACCCTTGGACCGTCTGAGGTAAGCTGCTGCCTCCTCTTTCCAGATGCAGCTCAGTGCACCCACTGCCCAGAAGACCGACACCCAAGCAAGAACCAAGTCCTGTGCATTTCCAAGCCCGTGAACTTTCTCTCGTATGAGGATACCCTCGGCTTCATTTTAGTTTGTCTTGCTCTTGCCTTCTCCTTGATCACAATCCTTGTGTTGGCAGCCTTCATTAAACATCACAACACACCACTCGTCAAGGCCAACAACCGAGATCTCACCTACGTCCTCCTGGTCTCCCTCCTGCTCTGCTTCCTCTGCTCCTTCCTCTTCATCGGTCAGCCCAGGAGCCTCCCCTGTCTCCTCCAGCAAACTGCTTTTGCCATCATCTTCTCCGTTGCCATTTCATCGGTGTTGGCAAAAACTGTCATGGTGGTTCTGGCCTTCATGGCCACCAGGCCAGGGAACAGCACAAGGAAATTCTTAGGGAAACCAATGACCAACTCCATCGTCTTAGCCTGTCCCTTGGTCCAAGCAGTTCTTTGTGCCACCTGGCTGGTGACTTCTCCCCCGTTTCCCAACTTGGACTTCCACTCCTTGGTAGAAGAGGCCATCTTGGAATGTAAGGAAGGCTCAGCTTCCATGTTTTATGCTGTCCTCACCTACCTGGGTTTCCTGGCCCTCGTCAGTTTCACGGTAGCCTTTTTGGCTAGGAAATTGCCCGACAGCTTTAACGAAGCCAAGTTCATTACTTTTAGCATGCTGGTCTTTTGCAGCGTTTGGATCACCTTCCTGCCCACCTACCTCAGCACCAAAGGGAAGTCCATGGTGGCCGTGGAGATCTTCTCCATCTTGGCCTCTGGAGCTGGTCTCTTGGCTTGTTTCTTTTTCCCCAAATGCTACGTTATCCTACTTAGACCCAATCTGAATAGTAGAGAAAATATAATGAGGCACAAGAATCTCTGACTAACGCAGGGATTGGGAACTTTTATTTTGACTTTGAGGCATTTTAGTATTTGATCACATTTCTTTAAAAATGACAAAATGAGGAGGGGCTTGCCTATGAAATAATTAGTTAACAAGTGGTGTAACCAATCACAATGTACCTGTTCATCAGCAACAATGACCCCCCCCCCACACTTTTAATTTTCATTAATGCCAGATGTTCCTAGTGAGGCCCAATGCCTATTTTGGATATAAAGGTTATGTTAAAGTGTGGATATTGCTTTCCAGGAGGCCATTATCATACTTTATTCCTTTTATTTAAAAGAGACTTTAAGAATGTGTCCAGTTGGGAGGAGGGCGGAGCTGGCGTCGCGGCGATACGGCGGGCGG